CCCCCTGGGGGCCCCCAGGGGGCCCCAGGGGGCCCCCTTGGGGGCCCCTTGAACTGCGTGGATTTGCTGTTAAATGAATTAAATTTGAAATGGAGATACAGATTTGGTCTTCTGTTTTGATCAGCATAAATAAAATAAACAAAAATGAAAAAGACCCTCTGAGAATTCCCTCAGGGGGCCCCCAGTTGAGCCGTCTGTACACCCCAGTGGGCTTCGGGTGTACAGACAGCTCTGCTGCTTCCCCTGGGTGCATGCAGACACTCCGGGGGCTTTGAGGCTAGTGCTGCAGCAGCTGCAGCAGCAGCTGCTGAAGTAGCAACTGCTGGAGCAACTGCAACAGCAACGGCTCCAGCAACTGCTGCAGCTGCTGCAGCAACTGCTGTGGGAACTGCTGTAGCAAGTGCTGCAGCAACTACTGCAGCAATCTCTGCAGCAGCTGCTGCAGTAACTGCTGCAGCAAGCACTGCAGCAGCAGTTGCTGTAGTAACTGCCGCAGCAACTGCTGCAGCAGCTGCTTCTGCTGCTGTTTGAGTCTGCCTCCTCCTCCGCCTTCTTCTAAGCAAATTAGAAGGCAGCAGCGGAGTTGCTTTTTGCTGCTACTGCTGCAGCACCACTGCTGCTGCTACGGGGGCTAGAGCCACAGGGCCCCGCAGCCGGCAGCAGCAGCAGCAGCAGCAGCAGCAAAAACTCAAAAGAACCACGGCCAACTGCTGCATAAATTCTTTACCTAAACAAAGAATAAAACCCTTCTTTGGGGCCCCCTTACAAAACGGCCGCGGAGGAAGCAGCAAAAGCATTTGCTGCTACATTTGCTGCTACATTTGCTGCTGCATTTGCTGGTGCATTTGCTGCTGCATTTGCTGCTGCATTTGCTGGTGCATTTGCTGGTGCATTTGCTGTTGCATTTGCTGTTGCATTTGCTGCTGCATTTGCTGCTGCGTTTGCTGCTGCAGTTGCTGCATGGTCTGTGCCTCTCTGTAGCTATTTGGGCTTTTTGACTGAGCTGATGCTGCTGCCGCTGCTGCCACCTGCTGCCGCTGCTGCTGCTGCTCTACTTAGGTTTAAATCCTCAATTCTTTGCCTAACAGATTTAATTGGGCCCAGCTCGGGGGCCCCAGGGGGCCCCCCAGCAGCAGGTGGGCCCCCAGCAGCAGGGGGGCCCCCCTTGCTGCTTCCAGGAGAAAGGGGGCCCCTCTGGGTCTGAAGATCTGCTGGGGTTGCGCGAGGCAGCAGCAAACCCCCCAAGGGTGCTGCTGAGGGTTTGGCCTTGTTGCTGCTGCTGCTGCTTCTGGCCTTGCTGCTGCTGCTGCTGTTGCTGCTGCTGCTGTTGCTGCTGCTGTTGCTGCTGCTGTTGCTGCTGTTGCTGCTGCTGCTGTTGCTCTTCCGGCTAGCCACACTGGAGCTGCGCGAGGTGCTCCTCCACGCCTGCTGCTGTCCCTGCTGCTGCTGCTGCTGCTGCTGCAGCTGCTGCAGCAGCTTGCTGTCTATTCCTGTTGGCTGGTAAGACATAATTCCCTTGTCTGTTACTTTTTGAATTTCCTGACGAAGCAGCTCCACCTGAGAAGCAGCAGCAAAAGAAACAAAAGCAACTCAGCAATGGCTACCCGCTAGCTAGCTAGCTAGCTAGCTGGCTAGCTAGCTAGCTGGCTAGCTAGCTAGCTGGCTAGCTAGCTAGCTGGCTAGCTAGCTGAACAGGGAGTGACACAGCTAGCCAGCTAGCCATATAGCAAGCAGCATAGCTAGCTAGCTACTTAGCTGCACAGCCACACAACTTGGCAGTCAGGCCCGCAACCAGCAAGCTAGCTAGCTAGCCAGCTAGCCAGCCAGCTAGCTAGCCAGCTAGCTAGCTATCCAGCTAACTAGCTAGCTAGCCAGCTAGCCAGCCAGCTAGCTAGCCAGCTAGCTAGCTACCGAGAGCTGCAGGAGACAGCTGGGGACTCACTAGAGCAGCAGGAGCTGCATCGGAGGTGCAGATACACCTGAGAACAGCAGCAAACTGGCCCCAGCTTGCTGCTGCTGCTTCGCTGCTGCAGATCTCCCGCTGAAGCTGCCGCGCCTCCTTCTTGAGCTGCAGCAGCAGCACAGCAGCAGCAGCAAAACGCATGCACTTGAAGACTAAAAAAAGAACAAAATAATTAAATATTTGCATGCGGGTAGAAGAGCCTGTTGCCCTCCTCTAAATAGACTGGCTAGCTAGCTAGCTAGCTAGCTAGCT